CAGAGAATGAGGGTCAGTATTTAGAAAGGTCGGCACAGGTCATTCTTGGACTGGCCCTAGGATTTAAGAGGAAAAAGCACAGATTTTGGTTTCTAGTTACAGTTTTGCCTGTCTTTTGCTGTGTGGATTTGAGTAGCTTTGTTTTCTTCTTTGGACCTTGGTTGCCTCTTCTCTTAAAAAGAAAATAATCTCCAGCCTAACTCCAACTAAATTGTGTATATTAAGATTAATACAGAGTCAAAGGAATACTATTAAGGGCCGAGTTTGTCACTATCAATAGATGGCAGTGTTCTTCAATCCTTCGCTGGACCCTACTAGCCACTATCTGCATCAACATGTGTAGACCCGTACCAATGGTCAAAATTATCTAAGGGTCAGAATTATACCTGTTTTAAGTTGTGGAACTTCTGGCAAGTTTCTTAATGTTAGGTAGTACAGTTTTCCCATTGGTCAGTTAATTATACAAGCTAATAATCATAATACAGGTCCATAATCCCTGAGCTAAAATCATTAGCCCTAGATATGTATTTTAGTTCAGAATGTTTGGAGTTTTGAAAAAGTAATATAGTAGCCATAACATGTATTATCTAACACCCCTTAATGAGATCTGGGGCAACACCCTGTGAAAACATATTAATATTTCTAAATGAGATAATTGAATAGCTTCGTATAAATTGAGATCAGTTTCATCACCAAGTGCGACTTTACCATAAGCTTTCAGTTTTCAGAAACTGGCATAGCAGAGAAACAAATTGTAGGGCATTGTAGAAAAAGAGACAAGCTAGTAAGTACTTAGAGCTTGCCATGCACCTGGCATTGTTCTAAGAATGCATTTATTTATTTAATTGGCCCAATAAGCCTATGAGTTAGCAAAAATATTATTTTTCGCGTATGTATTTTACAGATGGGGAAACTGAGTTTCAGAGAGGTTAAATAACTAGCCCAGAGTCTCAAAACCAGTGAAGAGCAGTTTTAGGATTTCAATCGAGACAGGCTTCAGAATCTGTGCTCCTAAACCATTGGGTTACATTGGGCCTTCGGATACCTAAGGAGACTAAGTAGGTCACTGTGAGAAAGTAAAGGTGGCTGGGTGTACTGTGAGCATGTGCCAGTCAACAGGGAGTAGCTTACTCAGTAGTGCCAGGTGACTATTGCCATTTTGGAATGATGATAAAGGATCTGTTTTTCCCAGAGAAGCCAGAAATCCAGGTTTTTATGTGAAATATCCTGACTTTTAAATACTGCAACTAATTTAAAAATGTTAAAAACATTGTATGGGTCAAAATCTGTCTGCAGTCTGGATCTAGACTGTGGCTGCCAGTTTGAAAGCTCTTCAATGAAGAAACAGATGTGAAGTTGTTTCGTAAAATTAAAAAAGTGTTCTAGAAATGCAAGTTCTCCTTTTAGGGTTAATTTTTTTTTCCCTGCTTAACTGTGGTCTAGTTTTTTGAAAACTGGTGTTCCTGGCCTGATGAAGATGAAAAGTCGGAATTAAATAGACTTCAGTGAACTTGAATGCTTCATTCCTTTGGCAGGTTGGCTAAATGAGAAGCCTAGTTGTACTGGATGGGCTAAGCCTCAGAATTCCTGCCACACCCACAGACTCCTTCTAAGGGGTTTCCACTCACAGACCCCAGCCCAGTGTAGTAGCATTTTCTTATGAATAGGTGGGTATGTTTGGTACCACGTGACCCTGCTTCCCCTAGGCAAGAGCCAAATAAACCAGAAGAAGGTATCTGATTCTTAAGCAGCCACTCTAAACTGGCAGGCAGCTTCTTTTCTCTCATTGAGTTTATTGGTACATTTTAGGTATACAGTACAGTTACATTCATCATTGGGATCTTGTACCTTTACATGACAAGTCTTGGTTCTCACTTTTTCCCCGTACCCCTGCCCTCCCTTCATCCCCTCCTCCAATCCCTATTTACAAATACTTTATTTCCATTTTTTCATATTCTCATGTTTTTCCCCTTTTTTCATTTTCCCTACCCTTCCCATTTCCCCTACACCTTTAGCCATTTTCTTCCTACTTCACATTGTAAATTATACCATTAGGATCTTATGTACCATTATAGTTTTTCACCCCAGAGAAACTATTCAGTATTTATACATGTGTGACTTATTTATTTCACTTAGAAGTATATCCTCAATATGTATCCATTTTCCTATGAATGAATCTAATTTCTCATTCTTTATGGCTGAGTAGTATTCCATTTTATAGAAAAACCACATCTCCTTTATCCAGTTTCCAATTTATGGGCAAATGGGCTGTTTCCAATTGTTAGCTATTACAAACTGTGCCACTGTAAACATAGGTGTGCTTATATTGCTGTGATGTGATTCTTTTAATTCTTTGGGAAAGATACCCAGCAGAGGGATGGCTTGGTCAAAGGGAACCTCTAATCCCAGCTCTTTGAGGTATCTCCGTATTGATTTCCATAGTGGTTACACCAGTCTGCACTCCCACCAACAGTAGAGAAGGGTTCCTTTCTCCCCACAACCCCGCCAACTTTTATTATTATTTGATTTCTTGATAGCAGCCATTCTTTGTGGGGTGACGTGGAATTTCAGGGTTGTTTTCATCTGAATCTCTTGAATGACCAGTGATATGGAACATTTTTTCCTACATTTAGTTGATGCTTTTACTTCTTTGTCTGAGAAATGTCTTTTTATTTCAGATGCCCATTTTTGAATCAAAATGGGGGGGCTGATTTTTTTGAGTTCTTTATATATCCTAGATAATAGTCCTTTGTCTGAGGAGCAGCTGGTAAGAACTGATGAAACTCAGAATAAGAACTTTGCTCAGCAAGTACAGTGGTCAAAATTTGCACCAATGACAGTCTCGCTTTCAGAGAGTTTGAATATCAGACAGAATGAGCAGTTTGGTAAGAGGGACAGAAGCTAAACAAAGACAAGAAAAACAGCAGAGTCCACGAATAAGTAGGGACAGAGGAGATTACTGAGCTTCTCCTATGTGCCAGGCACTTTAAACATGTTTTATTTAAAACTTTCAAAAAGCCTGTGAGTTAGCTTCTGTAATCCTCCCTGTTTTCCAGACAAAGAAACTGTGGGGAAGTAAGTTGAAGTGTTGGGGTCAGAGCCCAGGCCTATTTGATGTTAAAATCAGGGTGTATGACCTCCTAAGTCAGTAGTTATTAAATTCTAGAGTTTCAGAATAGTTTGGGCTAAAATGCAGATTCCTTGATATCACTCCAGACCTATTGAATTTTACTCTTTGAAAGTGGAGGTAGCCCCCTCAAATCTACATTTTAGCTTTCCTCTCAGGGGACCCTGATGCAGGGGTTCCCCACCCCATTTTTGTTTCAAGAAACAGAGGTTTAGAAGGTATGGCAAGCAGTGTGTACTGCTTTGCAGACGCCTTGAGAAACAAGGTCAATGTCAACAGATGTATTCAAATTTCAATTTGAACTCTTTAGGAAGTAGAGGTAGTTGTAGAATGAGAGAGCACCAGTTTGTCCCCTTTTCTCATTCAGGAAGTATATACTGACACCAGTTATTTGAGGATTGACGTGAATGTTCAGCAGTAGTATAGAGGACCCAATCTTCTCTTCAAGATGCAGATCCCATAGCTAACATATGTTCACTAAGCATTTTCCATGAGGAGCACGAATTGCAGGAATGTAGTGCACTGGCAACAGAGCAAATGAGAGAAAATTGTCAAATGCAGACCGACATATTGTAAATCATGGGACTTAAAAATGTAAATCTTGCTAGGCAGATTCTAGAGGTTCTTCTCAGCCCTGGAGAAGTTGTCTAAGAATCCCACCCATGCTCTTATTTATATCATAGGTAAAAGGATTAAGGCTAGAACCTCCACTTTGGGAACAATGTTCAGCCAGTTTTGAACTATTCTGTCACCAGGAAATCTGCTCTGGAAAGCCAAATTAATAGTATGAAGGTTGCTTTGAGATCCTCAAGTCAGAAGAGGTTTCATGGTCTAAATGGCATCAGGCACTTATTCCAACAAGGGAGCTGTATGGTTCAAGAGGTGACACAGTGAAAAGGATTATTCAGATCCTACCTGAGTGGGGCTGGAGTCCACATTTGGCAACATTGGTTTCTCTCACTGGGTTCCTGTGGATTCTTTCTTTATCTATGTTAATGTCTGGGGCTGGGGATTTGGCTCAGTGGTATCGCTGCCTGTCTCTGTGTTAATGTTGTCACTTAGGCTAAGGTCAAAATCCATTCTTGTCTCTTCAGGACAGAATGATTTTCTATCTTACAGGTGTCTGATCTTATCTCTGTGGATGTTTTAGCTCAGAATGATTCCTTAAAGCAGGTTGTTGGACAAGTTCCCATCCTCTAGGAAAATCACAGCTGCTCCTGGTGCAAGGAGAAAGTCCAAACATGTAGTTAGTATGAAAAAGTCTTTTTTGTGTAAAGTATTGTCCTTTATTCTGTGATCAATTTCTCTTTTTTTTTTTCATTTTTAAAGAAAGCCCTTTCTTTTTATGAAATGATGGTTTTGGGTTGCCTTATTTGTTTCTTAATGCTTTTACTTGGAAACAGAGAAATTTGACAACCCAATGTCAGTCCCCCAGTTTTTTGAGTTTGTGAAAGCTGCAAGTCTAGGAACCTGGTCTTATTTTCAGAGTTCAGCTAGTACCTCTAGGTACTTTCTATTGCCACTTTTATTCTAACTGCTTATAAATTATCTGCTTTATAATATGAGGCAGATCTCCCCCCAAGTATTGACATCAAGCTTACAGCTCTGGAGTTTACAGTATACTGGTCTGCAGTTTCCTTATTTAAGAAAATTGGTACACTGCCCATTTGCAGTCCTCTGGTATCCCTCCTGTTTTTTGCGATTTCACAGATCCTTCATGACGGCACCTACTGCAAGGCAGTTCCGTTTGCTCTTCTCATAATGTTCTTTTCCCTATAGGGTTGGACATGCATATACATGTAGTTTGGGGAATTTGCAGCACATCCAATGAAAGCGTAATTCCCAACTAACAGTCAAATCCTTTTCTTTGGAGCTACCCAGAACACACCTACCCTCTCTTCCGTATGACAGCCCTTCAGAGACTTGAATACAGAGAGTGACTCTCCTGTGAGTTAAGAGTACTGGCTGAGTCAGACTGACCCGAGTGACAAGCTCAGCTTCATTCCCTCTCAGCTGTGAGAGCCAAGGTAAGTTACTGAATTTTAATTTCTCTCTATTTCAGTTCTTTAGCTGATTTATAAAACAGGGCACCCCTCACTTCATTTGTTTATTATGCAATGAAATAATAGAATGTATTTAAGTGTTTACCACATTACCTGGTATAGTAAGCACTCAGTAATTGCTAGTTGCCTCTCCTTTTTACTTACAAAGAACTGGGTGGGTAATTTCAGTGTCAGTGTTATTGAGGAATAAGAAATGGGGAAGGTTTTGTCTCCCTGAAGGACTGGGAGAGACAGAGAACCCCCAAATAGTGCAGAATTGCTTGATCCTTAGGTTGTCTGTTTTCAGTTATCTGGGTGTCTGTTTTCTGTGGCTCTAAGAGAGGATGTTGTTAAGAATACGGGGAAAAGCTTATTTTCAAAAGCTGGAAAGCTATTTGTTGACATGTAGAATGGTCTCTTGTTTATTCTTATTTCCTCAAGCGGCTAGCCATGCAATCCCTCAAACTCAATTATCTTTTGTGAGGCAGCAGGAGCACAACACCTCCTAGCTGCATTGATCAGCATAGACTGAGTGGGATGTGAGGAACCTGAGAGATGCTAAGCAGCAATTTCTGGGCTTTTCCTTCCTTAGAAGGCCTTGCTTCTCTGAGTTCCTTGTGACTGGCTCTAATAAAACAGAAATCTATGCTCCACAGGCAAGAGCCCTCTTCCAGTAGCCCACTTAGAAGCAGGCTGACGAAAATGGTCACAGTGGATCAGACCTTGGAACCCTGGAGTGATCAGTGCCTGGATGGTTTTAAATTGTAGCTTTTTGCACATACATGATTTTGCAAGCAATTGCATGGTATAAATTCTGAATGCTGTTGCAGCTAGGAAAAGTTTGGAGACACACCCAACTGTGATCAGACAGAGGAATGAGATTTGTGGGCAGGGGGTCGGGTAGTCTCAGAACTTTAGTTTTATCTCTATGGAGGATTTCACTTTATTTTATTTTAATTCTGAGAGATAATAAATTCCTAGATTACTTGTGCAGTTACTAAACACAAATCAAAGTTAGAAAAAAATAAGAAATCATTTTTTGAAACAAGGACAATATAAAAGTAAACACCAGAGACACTTTTTTAAAGTCAGTTCTAAGGTGCAAGTGGTGGAACCATTAGGTCTGTGGCTTGGAAGGGGAGATGCTATGGATCCCCAGAGAGAGCATTCAGGAAGACAGTGGAAATTGTTAGAGATAGAGTCAGCAAGAATCATGCTTTCTAAAAAAGAAGATTAACTTTTATTATATTTTTCTTTTTATTAAAGTATGATATGTCCATTATGCACAAATGAGAAAATTTTCATAAAGAAAATAAAATAAAAATCCTCTCTAATCTCACCATTCAGGTATGGTCACTGTGAACAAAACATACTTTACTGTTTCCTTGCAAAATATGCACATTTATTTGATAAAAATCTGATAATTATGTTCACACTAGACTATAATTCACAATGGCTGTATTAGTGGCTGCTATAATTGGTCCAGGATTCATTTTAATCATTAAACAAATTGTGTTCTAACATCAGGCACTTATGTTATTTTCAATTTTTTTATTATCATAGATGATTTTGATGTGTAGTTGTATGACATTAGGAAAGCTAGGTAACCTTTCTATGCTTCTAGTTTCTCATCTGGAAAATGAAAGTTATAATAGCACCTACCTCAGAGGGATGTTGTGAGTATCAAGTGAAATATTGTAAGTAAAACACTTAGCATAGAGCCTGACACCATAAATGTTAGCTTTAATTATTAGGTATATTAATAAGATTTATAGTAGTTGTTATGAACCCCTTAGTAGCATGAATTTTCTGTGAATAATTTTTGATCTATGAAAAGCAACTGGAAAGTTTCTCTTTTTTTGTAGTGTTGGTGATTGAATACAGAGTGTATGCTAGGCAGGTCCTCTACTTCTAACCCATGCTCCTAGCCTTGGAATGTTTCCTTTTGAGTAATATATTCTATAGTGTGTTCTGGAGTCAGACAGAGCTATGTGCATTTGGTCCTTTTAAATCTCCTTGTTGAAGCTCAGTTCCCTTACGTGTAAACTTGAAATTAAAAAGGGTCTAGCATGCATGGTAATTGTAAGAATCAAATGAGATAATGCTTATGAATCCCTTAGCACCATTCTTGATATATGAAGGAAACTTAATTGAGGTTAACTTGTATTACTACTATGACAATGATTACTACTATTGCTACTATGATTCACTCCTTTGTAATAAGAGAGAAGTTTCTTTGCTTGGTGGGGTGGGACAGATAGAAGTGAGTAGAGTATGTAGTGTTGTTAATCACCTGCCTAATTACAAAGAGAGAAAATTACTTTAGAAGCAGCGTGGCCAAGGCAGAAATCTAGGCTTTGCCATTTATTAGTTCTGTGTCTTTGATCGCATAATCTTTTCTAGGCTCACTTCTCCATTTGTGAATTGGAAAAGATGTCCTTGTCCACCTTCCAGGTGTTGCTGTGATGATATGATGCACGTCTAGTGCTTTGCCCATATGTTCCATTATGGTTGGTGGCTAATTATGAGTTATACTTGGTTGTTACTTTTGAGGTGTGTAATGACCCGAATGCCTCCATCCCCAAGTCTCATTCTGTATACACAGGCTACTTGAACTTCACCTAAAGACTTTGCCCTATTTAGAGTTCAGGGACCAATTCTGCCACCAGACTGAATGCTATTTCTACTCTGGCCTCTGCCCTGGTTCTAGAAAATAGGCTGTAGCTCCATTTCTACATGAGCTCTCATTTGGCATATTTTTTTTTTCTTTCCAGCTGTCTGAAATCCTTGGAGACACGGTATTGAATCTTTGTCCTGGGGTAGGTCATTGGTTATCATATTTCCTTGTATGTCTATGATAGTGGGAGCAGATTAGTATTTTTATTATCACTACTGCAGGGTTTTATTAATGTGTTTACTCCCCAGCCCCCATTCCCCATCCTTCCTGACTGTCCCACGCCTGAGCTTCTTTGAGCTTTTCAAATGCTGCTATCTTGGAAGTCCAGCCCCAGTTCCCTTATCTCTAACACCCAGTCTCAGCTTTCTGGTCACACAAATCGCGATGTCCTGCTCTCAGGACTCCTGTGTCTGCTCAACTGCAGAGGGTATATGTCTCATTTCCTAAGTGAGGGCCTTTTCATTCTTATAGTTTTAACTGTGTCAATCTTTTCTTTTTGGGGTAGCTAGTGTAGTGAGGTATATACTAATGGGACTGCTAAGGGCATGGAGCAGAGAGGTAGAGTTGTGTAGGCCAAGAACAAAGTAGAGCTTCTGGAGGACTGTCAAGGGAAAGTTAGTCAGAGACAAATGTCAGTGTCAATATAGAGGCAGGAATCTGGAACCAGAGACCCAGAGAAAGCATTAACAAGTCAGGAAGAGTGGGATTGGTGCATTTTCAGTCAGGCAAAATTGGCATGGCAGAGGATAGTTAAAGGAGATTGCAGAAAACAGCTGCTGATATCGAGTCCTGCCTTAAAGAACTGGCACAGGCTATAAGTCAGTGAGCCAGACTAAAAGAGCTAGAGATGCGAAGGATACTCTATCCCTCTTCTCAGTAACTGACAAGGTAAGATCTTTCTGAATTTTGCCTGTGGGAAACTGTGGCATGTTTGGGACTTTTCTAAAGATGGAGGTTTATGGTTGCTCATTTGTCGCATATTTCCCATTGCACCAAGTGTTAGGGTAACCATAGTGTCTCTAAGTGGCTAGTATTTTTTCCTTTACAACATTCCATCTCTGGTTTGTCTATGCCGAAGATAGAAAGAAAGGTCTTGGTAATGTGACTGAGTGAGGGATAAAGGTGGGATGTGATAGCATGATGATGAAGAGCAGGGTCTGTGGAGTTGGACAGACCTGGGAATCTATATGACTGCAGAAAAGTTATTAAGCTTCTCTGGGCCTGCATTTTCTTTTTTTATCAGATGGACTTTATCAGAAAGAGGACAACAAAAATCTCTTAGTGTTGCTTAGACCAAAAAACGATGATGCAGGGAAAGTGCTTACCAGAGTGCTACCCAGACAGTGCTTGCTCAAGAAATGGCCAATATTAGGGGTGAGGATTTATCTCAGTGGTGCTGTGCCTGCTGTGTGAGTGCAAGGTCCTGAGTTCCTGAGTTTGATCCCTGTACCAGAAAAAAAAAAAAAAAGCAGTGTTGGTATTTATGTTGCCAGTTTACTCCTTATTCTTAAGGAGGCATGATGCCATAGGTTTGATAACTTTTTTGACATTATCCCATAATAGCCAGTCTTCCATTTTTGGCATGAGCAGACATGTCAGACATGGGGACATGTCAGTCTTGTATAGTTGGCATTGGTTTCCAAGTTGTGTGTCAAAGGGACATTTCTAGGGCTGCTTATTAGATGGACCAGTGAGGTGAAGCTCTGGGATTGTCCATCCCCATGTAACCAGAGAAACCTGAAAATTTTCCATGCTATAGACTAGACTTCTAGTGAGGCCCAATTTAGGATGTCAGAGAATTAATTGTATGCAGCCTTAGGGATGCCAAATGCTAGGCAACCCCAAGTAAGGAGGGAGAGCGAAAGATATACAGTCTGTGACTATCACAGTGATTCTATTTTAGTCTCTAATCCTAGTTAATCCAAGAAAGCTCGTAACATGCTAATAACAATTTCTATTCCATAGGGTATTGTAAGACTCAAGTGGGATAATAACTTGAAAAGCTTGGCACATTATAGGCAATTTAAAGATTCACACCGTTACCTGAAGCACAGTGCCAGGCAATACTAAGTGATTAATCAATAGTAGTTGTAGTGATAGTTGTTATTAAGAATTATGATGATAATAATAAGCAGAATATTAGTTTGTGGCATGCTGTTCCCAGTTATTTATCAGATAAATGCCTTGCTTTCCTAAAGAAGAACAGTAAGGCTTTCCTTTAAAAGCTATCAGCGTAGTAAAACAGAGACTAAACCACTGGCATGATACAATGAGCTCCAGGAACTAAGGATTATCCAAGTGGAAAGGGCATTTCCATTCCAAGCCCACCAGTGCGTTAACTAATTTGCAAGTGCTGCTTGCTGCAGGGTAGACTGTAGTTTAGCAGCTAGCACTTCTCAAGACTGGCCAGTAGATGGTAGTGTCACCTCATTTGATTTAGGTCTGCCACGATTTAGCTGTTGCTGGCATTTATAAACAGAGAGGCTGTGCTGTGTGATGAGTAGGTTAGTTTGAAAAGGACAGAGGCAAGTGTAGGGTAAGTGGGAAGGGTAGGGGAAAGGAAATAAGAGAAAAGAAAAAAATATGAGAAAATGGAAACAAAGTTTTTGTAAATAGGGAAGGTGGAGGGGGTGAAGGGAGGGTAGGGATATGGGGGAAAAAAATGAGAACCAAGACCTGTCATGTAAAGGCACAAGATCCCAGTGATGAATGTAACTGTACTGTATACCTAAAAAGTACCAATAAACTCAATGAAAAAATGAAAAAAAAAAACCCACAGAGGCAGAAGGGCTATGTACTCCAACTTCAGAGCTATTCGTTGTTGCACAGTTTCTTTAACCTGATAGGCCCATCTTCAATGCCATATACCTGGCAGCAAATAAAAAGCAGGTCCCCACTGTGAATCATTTGTCTGCTTCTCAATCTTTTTAATATTGGCTTTTGACTTCTAAACTTGTTTCCTGTTTACAGATTTTCTTGCCGCTTAAGCATCAGCAGGATCCCTGATGTCATCACTTTAGGGGCTCCCTCCATCTTGTCCTGTAGCCATGGCAGATATGTCAGCACCTTTACAGTCACTGCAATTCAACAATATGCTGAGGGAGGAAAATGTGGACCCCCAAAATATGGAGACAAACTTCTCTAGACCAATGACAGAGAACAGAGCAGAGGTCCAATTTATGCATTCTTATGCACAGATGCCTACAGTCTCAACTTCAGCCTCAGACCCTGGAGGGACATCCATACAGACATCCTCAGCCTTTGACACAATATCTACACTTCTGATGGGATCACCAAACTCTGGAGCATTGTCTCCACCACCACTGCCAGTCTCAGACTCTGGGACACTGTCCCCACTACTAATGCCATCCTCAGAGGCTGGAACATTATCACCATTGTTAATGCCAGCCTCGGATTCTGGGGCACTATCCCCAATGCTAATGCCAGCCTCAGATGCTGGAACATTGTCCCCATTGCTAATGCCAGCCTCAGATTCTGGGACACTGTCTCCATTGCTAATGCCAGCCTCAGATGCTGGAACATTGTCCCCATTGTTGTCCATGTCAGAATATGGGTTAATATCTCCAGGAATGTTGACAATTCCTGACTTTGGAACAACGTCTACATCACTAAACACCACAGATTCTGTAGAGATATCACCACTGGCAATTACAGCTCCATCATCTGGAGATATGTCTACACCTATAATGAGCACCTCATCCTCTGAAGCAATGTCCACACCATTAATGCCTGCCCCGGATCCTGGAGAGATATCGCCACTCATAATTCCAGCTATAAACCCTGGAGTTCCATCCACACAGTCAACAACAACTCCAGACTGTGAAGAAATGTCCCCATTGCAAATTACAGATGAAGACACCGAAGCAATGTCAAAAGTGCTCATGACTGCCCTAGCCTCTGGAGAGATATCTTCACTGCTCATGTCGGGCACAGACTCTGAAGCAATATCGTCACTGATAATGTCAGCCATATCGTCCAGAGAAACATCAACCAAGCCAACAAACACTCAAGATTCTGAGGGAATGGCTAACCCACTCATGTCAGGCTCAGACTCTGGAGTCATGTCTTCACTGCTAACATCAGCTTCAGGCTCTGAAATAATGTCCTCACCACAGCTGTCCATCCCAAATGCTGGAGAAACATCAACATTACCAATGCCAGCCCCAGACGCTGAAGCAGTGTCCCTACTGCTAATGACAGCTCTAAGCTCTGCAGAGATGCCCACCCAAATGATGGCAGCCACAAGCTCTGGAGTGATGTCCCCACAGTTAACACAAAACCTAGACTCTGAATTCATGTCTACTTCACCAACGAGAGCAACAGCCTCTGCAGTGATGCCCATACTGCCAGTGACAGTTTCAGATGCAGGAGCAACGTCCACACCATTAATGAGAACACTAGCTTCTGGAAACATTTCCACATTGCAAAAGATAGCACCAGCCTCTGGGACAATGTCCACACCACTAATGACAGCCACAAGCTCTGGAGAGATGTTCACAGAGAAAATGTCAAATACAGCTTCTAGATTGATGTCAACACAGTCTATGGCCAAAACTTCTGGAACAACACCCACAGGTTTTGTGAAGGCCACAGCCAGTGGAGCAATGTCTACACAGCAAATGAAAGCCCAAGATTCCGGAGTGATGTCCACTCAGCCAGTTACAGCCACAGCATTTGAAACAATATCTATGCCACAACCGATAGTCATAGCCTCTGGGTCACTGTCCACACAGCAAATCAGAACTACTGTCTCTGGAACAATGTCCATATCACAGGGGAGAACCACAGACTCAGCACTGACATCTACACAACAAATAAGAGCTACAGCCTCTGAAGCAGTGTCCATTCCACTAATAACAGCCAAAGCCTCTAGCTCAGTGTCTCCACTGTTAATGAGAGACACAGCTTCAGGAATGATGTCTATGCCACAAACGAGAGCTTCTGGAACATTATCTGAGCCACTAATGATACACAAACCTTCTGGAACAGTGTTTATGCAGCAAATGACAACAGCAGCTTCTAGAGAAATGTCTTCAGTTCTAATGAGGGACACAATTTCTGGAGCTCCATTCTTGCCACAAATGACAGACACAGCCTCAATAGGGATATCTTCACTGCCCCAGAAAGCCACTGTCTCTGGAGCAATGCCCACATTGCAGACAACTCCCACAGCCTCTGGAGATATGTCCATGCCTCTATTGGGAGTCCCAGGCCCTGTAGGAATGTCCACATCACTAATGAGAGCCACAGACTCTGGGAAGATGCCCAATCAGCCAATGAGCACCCAAGACTCTGGAGAAATGTCTACATCACTCATGAGATCCATGATCCCTGGAGGGGTACAGATGAGAACCCATGCCTCTGGATTGATGCCCACACCACCCATGAGAGCCACAGACTCTGGAGAGTTGTCTACACTCACAAGAGTCTCATCCTCTGGCGAGAGAACTCTTCCCCCAAGAATCCTGGCTTCTACAGAAACAGTGACACCTCCAAGAGCCTCGACTTGCGAAACAATATCTGTTGCACAAATGTCAGCCACAACTTCTGGAATGATGTCCACACCACAGATGAAGGCTGCAGTCTCTGGAGCAGTGTCTACACCACTAATGAGATTCACAACCCCTGGAGAGACTTTCATGTCTCAAGTGACATCTACAGCTTCTGGAGGGATATCTTTGCCACAGAGAACCCCGACCTCTAGAGTGAGGTCCACACCACAAATGGTCCCCACAGCTTCTGGAGATACATACAAACTCCCAATGCGATCACCAGCCTCTGGAGTGATATCAATACCACAAGTCAGAACACCAGCCTCTGGAAATATGCTCACACCAGTAAGGAGATTCTCAGCTTCTGGAGCTGTGTCCCCAGAGTTAATGAGAGCTTCAGCCTCTGGAAAGAAGCGTACTGCACAAAAGAGAGCCATGGCCTCTGAAGGGATGTTCAAACCGTTAATGAGAACCATGCCCTCTGAAACAATGCCCATGCCTTTGATGTCAGCCAAGGTTTCTGGAGAGATGTCTAAGCCACTAATGAAAAACACAGCCTCTGGAGCAATGCCAGCACTGCAAACCAAAGTCATAAGTTCTCGATCTATGTCCTTGCCACAATCGACAAGAAGAGCTTCTGGAGGAATAGCTAAGTCACCAATGGTAGTCTCAGCTTCTGGAACGATGTCTACACCACTAATGAGATTCTCCACCTCTAGAGATATATCCATGCCACAAACATCAGCTATGGCTTCTGGAGTGATGTCCACATCTCTCACGAAGGCCCCAGACTCTGGAGCAACATCCACACCACAAACAGCCTTTGGAATGATGTCCACTCTGGAAATCAAAGCTACAGATTCTGGAGAGGCATCTACTTCACATACCAACTTCACAGCCTCTGGATCGAGGGCTGTACCACACATGACTGCCAGAACCCCTGAAACAAGAAGCCCACAATCAAGGGAAGCATCATCCTTTGGAATGTTGACTCCAGCACTTTGTTACCTCTTAGAGGAACAGGAAGGAGTCCGGGCTTCAAGCTCAGTGGGGGAGATGGAGATTGATGAGGAGGAGCAAATGAAGGGTTTTTTGGATGATTCAGAGAAAATGGCATTTCTGGTGTCTCTTCATCTGGGTGCAGCAGAGAGGTGGTCTATTTTGCAGATGGAGGTGGGAAACCCCCTCTCAGATGAAAATAAATTATTCATGAACAAAGCACAAGGCTTATATGACTCGTTGTCTGAGATAGACATCCTCAGTGCTGTTCTTTGCCATCCCAAGCAGGGCCAGAAGTCAGTCAGGCAGTATGCAACTGACTTCCTGCTGCTGGCCCGAAATATGTCTTGGTCTGATGCCATTCTACGGGCCAGGTTTTTGGAAGGACTTTCAGAAGCCGTTACTACCAAAATGGGTCGGATCTTCCTAAAGGTGGCTGGCAGCCTAAAGGAGCTGATAGACAGATCTCTCTACACAGAGTGCCAGCTGGCAGAGGAGAAGGGTTCCTTGGGAAAATCAAGCCAGGTTCTGTCGACAGCCTGTAAGCGGAATAATGAGGAGGCCATGGAGAATGAACCGAGCTCTCAGCAGCAGACTGAGGAGGTAATAATGGGGAAATAGATTCAAGGTCTTTGAGGTGAAAAATGAGGTAATGATGGGAAATAGATTTTGTTCTTTTGAGTAGAATTAAGGAAGAGTCAAGAGGGAGGTATTGTATCCCAAGACCATAAAAACCTACCTGAAATTTTGTCACTGAGAATGCATAGGCAGTTGTTTATCGTGTATTAGCTATTTTCAGAAGTAAGGTCCAATCCAAGTTACTAAGGGCCTGGCTGTCACAGTTAAAGTTATGGGTCTTCTGAGTATAAGGGAGATAGCTGGACTCCAGCCAAGTCTACATTCCAAGTCTATCCAACTCTACACGGGGGCGTCTCTTCTCTTAGAGCAGTGGTGGTGAACCTATGACATGCATGCTACAGATGGCTGTTTGTTATCATTGAAAGCTCTAAAAGGTTTGCCATCACCGTCTTAGAAGTAAGTCCTATCTATAACCATGTATATTGTGGACTCAGGTCACTAGGGGATTTGGTTAGTCTTAGTCATACTTTATATAAGTAAATTAGGTAAGTTCTCTGATAGGTTAATTTACTGAAGTTAACCAGGTAGAATGTCTCTTTTCTTAGGAAGTATGGCTCTCTTACCTCTGCTGTTTTTTTCTTAGTCTCAGCATCAACATGTTCCCAAACGCTGTTTCTACCTGAAAGAACGTGGAGATCCTCAAAAGAGTCTTCATGAGTACCTTCGACAGAGCACAGCTCATCAGAAGACATCTACACACAAATAATGCTCCCTGGACTCCTCTTCTGTGATATCTGTTTTGGCTGCTAACTTTAGGATTGGTTCCTGAACTCATTCCATTCAACTACATCATAAACCTTGTTGCCTTTACTGTCCACCCTCCTCCTCCAGGGACACCCCACTTAATCCCCCATGTGGCTGCCTTGACCTTGTCTTTCACCCACAAGCCTATGACCTTCTTCAACAACCGGAGTGTGGACTATAAGAGTGTGTGGTGTTTGAGATTCTGAGCTCCCATCATCATCAAGGTCAGTCCTAGTTGTTGGTCTACGAAGAAGTCTAGGCAGAACAAATCATTTCCTACCTCAGAAACACTTGCCATGTGTCATCAGGCAAACATGAGAAAATTCTAGTCTCACTCCACCTGGAAGGAGAGCCTATAAAGAGAGAGATATCCACTCCTACACCACCTTTCAAAACCAGTAGACTTGCCCCTATGTGCTCCTTCCTTATAGCACCTAAAATGGATCTCCAGGGCCCTTGCCCTGTTTATAGTTTCCATTCTGAATCATTCGTTTTGACTAATAATAATAATAATAATAGTGATAGTAATGGCTAACGGTTATTGATAATGTACCATATCACAGGTACTGGGCTAAAATCCTGACAAGCACCATCGCACTACATTGATAGAGTGCCCCAACTTGTTCCTGTGTTGTTAGCTTCTGCTCTCTTGATGTATTGTTTATGGCCTTTGTCCTTCAGTGTGGAATCTCTAGATCTGACCTCTGGGTGGTGCCTCAGCTGTTAATTGCCCTAACTCGCTTTGGCTGCTGTGCTTCGTGGTCCTCACTCTTGATAAGAGTCTTGGTCTCTAAGTAGGCATAGATTAGAGCATAATATGCTCACTGCTCAGTGTTTACTTTCAGGTGGTGGAGTTATGGGTAATTTTTATTTTCTTTCTACTACTCTATGCTTTCTAGTTTCTCTACAGTAAGTGTGTATTACATTTGCAATCATAACAGTAAATAAAAGTCCTTTATGAAAAAAGAATTAACCATGACTATTATAATTTCATTTATTGTGTCTTTCATTCAACTAATATTCATTGTCTAACATGTGTTGGCCACTGTTTAGGGGGCAGACAGATATGATCCTTGCTTATATGAAAATTCCATCCCAGTTAAGGGGAGAGACAGACAATCAGCAAAACATACTTAAATAAGATTGAAATTGTGGTGAAGAAAGCAGGATAATGGAAAATTTTACACAAATAGGATGGATTTATCTATTCAACAACAGTACATATAATTGGGTCCCTCAAAAATCTTATAAAAACAGTGAAAGTGACATAATTGAAAACATATTTTAGAAAGCTAACTTGGCAACAGTTTGGAAGCAGGATGGAAGAAGGGGTCAGAGGCAACTGAACCCCCTACTATAAGTCTGGGTGACTGGCTGGCTAGAGGATACAATCTAGGGAGGTGGCAGTGAGGGTGAAAGCGCAGGGACAGGGCCCAAAGCCTCTCTGGAGACTCGACTCTACTGCTTCACCACCCTAAACATTGGGTGGGATTCCAGGAAAAGAAAACTTATCGTTCAGAAAAACAAAGATTGACAGACAACTTGGCAGTTTCATGGTATTTTATGTGAGAATCTGGCTCTGGGGCCTGCCTGTAGCTGCCTCAATCATTAATGCTGTTGCTTCAGAGAAAAGATGGCATGATAAGCTGGGCATCACAAAGTCCAGATGGGGTTAACAACTGGCCTTGAGGACCCCATTTTCCTCCTCTTTTTGGTGCCTGTCACATCTGGCTCATCCCAGGCCCAAATAGTGTGGACATCAATGTACTGCTAGAATTGGTCTTAGTTTAGAAAAGCACTATCTAGTTTTCCTTACACTGAAAAAGAAATTGATGATGACAGAAATCATAGCCCTTATTTAGAAAATTATACGTAGAGGAAAATATCTCAACGAAATTGATTTTCTTATAGCCATGATAATAAAGAATGATAAAAATTCTTTCCTTTATTTTTCTTCCCAGTCATTCGTCATCCTTTTGATTTTCCCTGTGTTCCCTGCAAATTAATATTATTAGAGATAAAAGGAACAAACAAGACATAATCATATCCTGTCAGACGTCATTGTTAGTCCCTGTTCTACCCACTCTAAAGGTTATATTTAGAAATGCTTCAAGAACTACTCAGGGTCTAGGTGGACCTGAACTATCACATTATCAAGCACTTGAGATAATTTTGTCTTCTGGAAAATGGTGTTTCAAGTTTTGCAAGGCCTCACAAACTCATGGGTAAAATAAGGTCTCATGAGCAGGAAAAACTCAGATGTCACCAACTCCTGCCCCCACCTGTGTCTTACATAACCTTAATCATTTGAAGGTTTCCTCCAGGTCACTCAGGAAGATACAAGCAGTTTCATATGCTCTGAAGTAGTCTTTGCTTGTTCTTCTTTGACTCATTTTTTTAAAAATTCGTTTAATTTTTATAATTAATTTTCCATACACTTTAGATATACATGAGGATCATATTCATCATAGAGAATTTGTACCTGTATATAATGTCTTGATTTTTCTTTTTTCCCCAATTCCCTCCCTTCCCTTCAACCCCCTTCCCTTCCTTCTTAAAAAAGCTTTGGTTCCAGTTTTTCCTGTTCTCTTTTTTTTTTCTTTTTCTGTTCCTTCCTTTCCCCTCCCCCTTCTCTTGTTTCTCTTCCCATTTGAAAAATTTCTTCCTATTACTCAATATCTATTATACAGTTTGATCTTTATTTACCCTTTAGGTTTCTCACACCAGAGAAATAATGTGATATTTAAATGTGTGTCTCATTTATTTCACTTAAGAGTATAGTCTCAAGGTGCATCCATTAATCTAGAAATGTTTTGGGTTTAACTTTCTTTATGGCAGAGTAGTGCTCCATTCATTGTGGAAAACAAACAAACAAACAAACAAACACATCTTTATCCATTTCTCCATTGATTGACATGAAGGCTGTTTCCAAGCTTTAGCTATGACAAATTGTGCTGTTATAGACATGGATGTGCAAATATTTTTATAGAGTGATGCTTTTAATTAATTCTGGAAGATACCAAGAAGGGGAGTAGCTGGGTCAAATGGAATCTCTAGTTTTAGTTCTGGAGAAATCTCCATACTGACTTCCACAGAGGTTGCACAAGTCTACACTCTTGCCAACAGTGGAGAAGGTTTCCTTTTCCCTCCAGCATTTGTTATGGGTTGATTTCTTGACAATAGCCATTAATTCTGGAGTGAGATGGAATCTCAGTGTTGTTTTAATTTGCATCTCTCAAATGACCAGTGGTGTTGAACATTTTTTAATATATTTATTTGCTGTTTGTGCTTCTTTATCTGTGAAGTATGTATTCATTTCAGATGGCCATTTTTGGATTTAATCTTTAAATTTGGGAGAGGGTCTGATATTTTTGAGCTCTTTACATTTTCTAGATATTAGTCCTTTGTCCAAGGAAAAGTTGAACAAAATTTTTCCCAATTTGTGGGTTGTCTCTTCACAGTACTGGTGGTTTTTTTTGCTGGGCAAAACTTTTTAATATGATGAGATCCTAGTTGTTGATTCTTTGTATTATTTCCCATGCAATCTTTCATAAAATCTTTGCTTACAAGCATGTCTTCCAAAGTTCTACTTGTATTATCTTCCAACAGATTTAGTGCTTCTGTGTTTATATTTAGATTTTGATATATTTTTATTTTAGTTTAGTGCATACCAAGAGATACAGGTCTAGGTTTAATCTTTGGCATGTGCAAAGCCAGTTTTTGCAGCATCATTTATTAAAGAGACTGTCTTTCTTCTAGTGAAGGTGTTTGGCCCGTTTGTCAAAGATAATGCAGATCAGTGTGTTTGGAGTTGTTTCTGCATTTTCCAATCTGTTCTATTGAACCTGGGGTTTAAAAAAAAAATCACAATCGCTTTGTAATTTAATTTCAAGTCAGGGTTTGTGATGCCCCCTGCCTTGCCTTTGTTGTCTAGAATTGCTTTGCTAGTCTAGGTCTCTTTTGTTTCCAAGTGAATTTTAGGATTGTTTTCTCTAATTCTGTGAGGTGTGCTATTGGTATTTTTATTTGGATTGCATTCAACTGTATAACAATTTTGGAAGTATGGCCATGTTCACTATATTTGTTCTTCCTACCTAAGAACAATGGATATCTTTCTATTTTTTGGTGTCCCTTTCAATCTCCTTTTTCATAGTACTATAGTTTTTGATGTAAAGTTTTTTACTTTTTTCATTAGATTAATTCCTAAGGTTTTTTTTGATGCTATTGAGAAAAGCATGGTTTCCCTAATTTCTCTCAGTGAGTTTTTTATTTGTGTATGAATGCTATTGATCACTGAGTGTTGACATTTGTATTCAGGTACACAACTGACTTTGGTTATTAAATCTAGAAGTCTTTTGGTGAAAATTTTAGGATCTTCTATGTAGAATAGTATGTTACAGGTACATAATCTTTCAAAGAATCAACTCTTTGATTCATTGATTCTTTGTATTGTTTTCTTAGCATTGATAACATTAACTTCTGCTGTGATGTTTACAATTTCCTCCCTTATATATGTTTTGGGTTTAAATTGCTCTTCTTTTTCTAGTAGCTTGAGGTTCAAAATTAGGTTGTTTGTTTGAACTCACTCTGTTTTTCTGATGTGGGAATTCACTGCTATAATTTCCTCTTGTTTGACTGCTTTCATTGCGTCTCATAAGTTCTAGTATGTTGTATGGCATTATCATTTAACTGTATAAGCTTTCCAATTCCTTCTTTAATTTCATCTGTGATCCACTGGTTGTTCAGTAGGGTGGTAGTTAATTTCCATGTGTTTATATAGACTTTGTGGGGATTTTTTGCCATTGATTTACAATTTCATTGCACTATGCGCCGATAATATTCATGGTATAATGCAAATTAATTGGAACGATAATTTATTTTCTTCACTAATGCTTATAAATTGCTCATGGTAGGTAGCTTTATTATTAGCATGGAGAACACCTTAGAAAATGACTACTTTTCAGAAATGTCTTCTCGGTGTAGCTGGTGTATGGCTTTTGAGTATGTCATCAGATCCTATCTCTTCAATTTATTAGGCATGAGGAGTTGTTACCTATTTCGCATAGACCTTATTTCTTTTTTACTAAACTATAGTATTGTTTATGACCCTCAGACCATCTCAGTCTTGGCTTACAAGGAAGAACAACTGATTAAAACAACCATCTGACCTTAGCTAAAGTAGTACAATCAATAATAAAAATAACATCAAGTAAAGCCTAAAAAATGACAAACTGTGGTCATTATTAATTTGCCAGTTTTAACCACAGGCAAAAGATTTATAGTTATATAAAAAAATCTAAAACCAAGAACATCTAGAGTAAATTATCCCTCAGCAGAGTGATTTTGTCTACTAGGGAGAAAATTTAAAAGGGATAGGAGGAAAAAATAGAGAAATGGAAGAAGAGAAAGAACTTAGAAGAAAAGTTGAAGAACCAAGGAAGATTACCTAAGGTTTTAGAGACTGATGAAGAAGACAGGTCGGAAACAAAGAGAAAGGAACAAAAACAAGAAATAAAACAAATAATGTTCATATTCCTGAAAAAATAAAAATGTACAATAAGAGAGAGAGAGAGAGAGAGAGAGAGAGAGAGAGAGAGAGAGGGAGAGAGAGCCTTTTCTGTGATTTTCAAGGCTGTGGTTGTCTTGTGGGGTCTAGTTTTGTGGCAGTGTCCACTTCAGAGTATGTCTCTGCTGTCACTGGTAGGTAAAAGAGGCAGACAGATCCCACATCCATATTGTATGATCCCAGCAAGTTTTCAGTAGGATTAGGGTTGAGTGCTATATAATCCATGCAAGCTTGAAGTTGCAATGGGATGGAGTGCTGATGATTCAACTGTACAGAAGTCCAGGCTGGTCCTGGTCTCTGGTTGTGGGCCTGTGACCTGAATTGTTCAGCACAGAGCACTATGAGTGTTTCTTGCTATCTTGATCTTAATTTCCTAATCCTGAGCATCTCCCAGGGCTATGCCTCACCCAAATACTGGGAGCCCCGAGATAAGGCCAATCCACGGTGCTCCAAATCCCAGGTTCTGCTGTCCCCACCCTAAAATGGCATTCACTCAATCACTGTGTCCTGGGGACATTTCAATTGGAGTCACCCGCCAGCTGCTGCAGCCTACAGCATCCACTGCTCTGCTCCATTGGAGCATTTCTCTATGGAGGCGTCCAGAATCCCCACCACTACTTTACCTCTATAGGCTTGAGCCTCCTCTCATGAGCCAGGAGTCAGGGAGAATGACTAGTTTACCAACAAGTCAGGATTCAGGAAGACAGCACAGTTGGTCATCTTCCTCTTCCTCATTCCATCATTTTGCTCTCTCCATACACTCCAATTCTTCCTTCAGACCTTTCCTTGGCAGAAAGGGAGATCCACCTCCCTCCTTCTCTTCCCCAAGTTGATATAATCCAGCTTCCGGTCTCCTACTTTCAGAGAGGCTGATTTACAAGTGTTCATCTCTTCTCTGTCTTCCCAGAAGTGCCTCTTTGACTCTTCTTCTGCCTCTTATAGGTTAGTTGCCCACATGGTCACTTGCATACAGTTCCTTTTCCTTACTGCTAGTGGGTGTCCATGACTGTGAGAACATGGAGGCCATTGCTGGATTTGGGCCATGGATTCTGGAGCACTCACAGACATGTATCAATGAGAGGCCTAAATGGTGCTGCACTCCCTTCTGGAAGCTCTGGCTGAAGGGAGTAAAGAGTTCACTTGGAGGGTGCTAATACATTTCTTTTGTGTGTGTGTGCCTCACACTTGGCCATTGAAATAATATTGCTACTGTCTTCATCTCAGTTAGGCTCCTGTCAAAAAAAAAAAAAAAACAACAACAAACCTGAGATCTCATTAATCCTATCTTACAGACAAGCAATCTGAGACACAGAGGTTAAGAAAAATTCCTAAAACACTAGAGGTGGAATCTGAAGACATAGATCTGACTCCAGCCCTCCACACTTGCAACTGTTCCACTACATATACAGCTTCATTTTTCAGAGCCAGATGGCCCCTGTCAGGATTCACTGAACAAAATTGCCATCTAACAGTGGCCAACATTGGAAGCTCATAAAGTTGGAAGTCTGAGCAAAACTGGGCCTGCTTCTTTCCCCCTTTTCCAATGTAGATTGACATATGAATCTTCCTAGTGGTATCTGGGGAAAGTCCTCAATATCAAAGAAAAAGAATCAATAACTGGAAATCCAAACTCTGCCTGGGCTCTAGTTATAGGTTCAGAGTAGATCAACCTCTATCATGAGCTCTGGTCTAAGAAGGAAGCTAAAAGCCTTACGTGGGTATCTTCTCATTGAGAAGAAATGTACCTTGGCTCTAGAACTCTGCAAGTGAAAGGGGATTTTTATGGTTACACCAAGATCTAGCTTCTCTTTCTCAGTATTTATTTTCCCTCAGGATTTTTTTCACTTCTCCCTCAGGAAATTTGGGGTTGAATAAGGAAAGAAGTTTCTTAATCATTTAGATACTTCACAGTATTAGCTTCCAACATCACCCCTCCCATACGGGAGGGTACTATGATTCTAACATCTAACAGTATAGTTAGAACACATATACTAAATAGAACCAGAAACTTTTGGTTTTAAGCAACTTAATAGAGATGATCCAGAGTAGCTTTTCCATTATCGCCTCAAAGTAATGATGAATAAAATATGGGAGAAAACTCAAACTGAGCTTGAAGAAAAGGAAATCTCGGCGGGGGGGGCAAAAAGAAAAAATGGGTTCTAATTGTACATCAATAAGTTCTTGACCCCCTCTAAGACTGCTATAGTGGAGTCTGAAAAAGTCTAGGCTAACTTACAAAGGAACATTTACTAACACAGTGCTAGAGGAACAAAAATATGAACTTCCAGTCCTACAGATGTGTCAACTACCACTCAAGTGTGAGCATAAGCGGGTACCATGGAGCAGGTCTGTAATCCCAGCTTGGAGGGAGGTTGAGGAGGGATGATACCATGTTTGAGATTTGGCCGGGCAACTCAATTGTATCTTGTCTCCAAATGAAAAATAAATGGACTGGGGATATAGCTCAGTAATAAAGTGTCCCTGGGCTTGATTCTCAGGACTACAAAAAAAAGTCAGCATTAAACAAAGACATTTTCTTTTAAAATATAGAATGCTGCATAAATTTGTGTCATTCTTGTGCAGGAGTCTCACTAATTTTCTCTATGCAGTTCCTATTTTAGTATCTATGCTGCCAAAGTAAGCATGAAACAAAGGCATTTTCTGACAAAGACTTAGACAACTCACTGTTAGTACAAAATGTGCTGCATATAGAGCTAGGCTGAACCTGAGGAACATGGAGAAATTTAAGAAAAAGAAGTCCACACCCTATAACATTCTGTGCTGACAATTTCACTGCTCTAAGCACTGATGTGTAAGTATTGAATAGACTGATGCTTGCTTTCCCACAATATCCTCTAATATCTTAATTTTTTGATAATAGCATTATTGAGATAAAATTCATATATGATATAACTCACCCATTTAAAGTGTATATTAGATACTTTTAGTATTTTTATATATTTGGGAAGTGTTCACAACAATTTAACTTTAGAATATTTTCATTAAACCCAAAAAGAAACTCCCTATTAGAAAAAGTAAAAAGAATCAACAAAAGGATAATAATATGACAAGAATAAGTCAAAATATATCAGTTATAACCATCAATGTTAATGGCCTCAATTATCACCCATTTAGTGTATATTAGATACTTTTAGTATTTTTATATATTTGGGAAGTGTTCACAACAATTTAACTTTAGAATATTTTCATTAAACCCAAAAAGAAACTCCCTATTAGAAAAAGTAAAAAGAATCAACAAAAGGAGAATAATATGACAAGAATAAGTCAAAATATATCAGTTATAACCATCAATGTTAATGGCCTCAATTCACCAATCAAGAGAAACAGATTGGCAGAATGGATTAAGAAGCAAAATCCAACAATATGTTGCATACAAGAAACACACCTAGTGCAAAAGGAAGCCCATAGACTGAAAGTGAAAGGATGGAAAACAATTCTCCATGTGTCAGGAGCCCAGAAAAAAGCAGGGGTAGCAACCTTATTCTCAGATAAAGTAAATTTCAAACCAAAACTCATTAAGAGAGACAAAGAAGGACACTACATCCTTGTAAAGGGAACAATTCAAGAGGAAGAGTTGACAATCATAAACATATATGCACCAAATATAAATGCCCCCAACTATATAAAACAAATATTAAGTAACATGAAAAACCAAATAAGCACTAATACAGTTGTAGTGGGGAATTTAAATACCCCACTATCACAAATTGACAGATCATCTAGGCAGAAAATCAACAATGAAATAATAGAACTGAACCAAGCTTTGGAACACATGGACTTAATAGATGTTTATAGAGTATTCCACCCCTCAAAATCAGAATATACATTCTTTTGGGCTGCACATGGATCATTCTCCAAGATAGACTACATACTGGCTCACAGAACAGGTCTAAATAAATACAAAAAAATTGAAGTCATCCCCTGTATATTATCAGATCATAGTGCAATCAAACT